GGCCTCTTGGGCTAAATCCTACATGTCTTAGAGACCACAGCCCAAATTACACCTTCAGGGAAGCTTCACTGACCAGCCCCTACTTCTAGGCTCCACACCTCCTTGTAGCTCCCTCCACTTCTTCCTTCCCTGTGATCCTGGTGAATAACAATTTGCATGATTATTTGATGAATATCTGTCTCCCCCATCAGACTGTGAGCTCTGTGAGGTCAGACACTGGTTCTGTCTTAATCTCCAGGCCACCCAGACCAGAGCCGGCACACTGTAGATACTCATTAAACACTTAGTGAGTGCCAAGTGTCGAGTAGACCCCTCTGTGCACCTCAGCACTCTCCCCTCTCCCCTCCGAACACACAGACTTTCTTCTGGGAACTGTCAGGGAACTTGGACCCCCGCCATTTCCCTCCTTGGCAGTTGCGGGTGACGCACCCAGGGGCGGGTGTGCCGCCCCACAGCGGACGCTGATTTGGCCCGGTTGGGCAAGGCCAAGGTTGCCTGGGGGGAGGTTACTCATCCTGAGCTCAGGTAAGAGGACCTGGGTTGGGAGGCGGCACACTGAGGGGGACGCTGAGGGAGCAGGATCGAGTCATGGACCCCGCCAGGAAAGCAGGCGCCCAGGCCGTGATCTGGACCGCAGGCTGGCTGCTGCTGCTGCTGCTTCAGGAAGGTGGGTCTGGGGAGCTCGGTTTGTTAGACTGTTGTCCCCATAAGCCAAGGCTGTGGGTTCCATCCCTGGTCAGGATACATACAAGGATCAACCAATGAGTGCATAAGTGGAACAACCAATTGATGTTTCTCTTTCTCTCTCTTTAAAAAAAAAAAAAAGAAGAAGGTGGGTTTGCTGGGGGAGGGGCAGAGGGGCCAGAGTAGGGGCTCTAGGGAGGAGGGTCCCCTCACCCCCTACAGAGAGGGCCATGGGAAGGGTCTCCACACCTTGAGGAGAAGGGCTATGGGAATGATCATCTGCCCTGGTCAGAGTGGGCTGTGGGAAGGGTCCCCCATCCTGGGCAGAGAGGACTGTGGGAAAGACTCCTGCCCTGGGGGGCTGTGGGAAAAGCTCTTCCAACCTGAGCAGAGGGGGCTGGGGGGAGGGGATCCCTCACTGAGCCTACTCCCTGCGGGAGAATTCTCCCATCCTGAGCACAGAGGTGTGGGAATGTGCTCCCCACCCATGGCAGAGTGCTCCCAGGGCTCCAGGTCCGGGGTGCCCCACCTTGGGCTATGGCACTGTGGGAAAGATACTCCCACTGTAGGCACAGGGGGCTTGTAGGAAAGGGGCACAATGTATCCCATGACCCCAGATTTGTGGGAAGATTTTCCTTAGTCCTGCCCTGGACAAGGTTGTGCGATAGGATTGTCTTGTCCTGGGGAGAGAGGGCGTGGGAAGGACTGTTTCCCCTTGGGGAGAGACCGAAGTAGGGGTCGCTCATTTGACTCCGCCCTGCACCCCCAGGAGCTCAGGCCCTGGAGTGCTACAGCTGCGTGCAGAGAGCAGACGACGGGTGCTCTCCGCAGAAGACCAAGACCGTGAAGTGCGCGCCAGGCGTGGAAGTCTGCACGGAGGCCGTGGGGGCTGTGGAGACCAGTGAGTGGGGCCCCCGGGTCCACGCACCTACCCCTTCACGCTTCTCCAGCCAGGCCCCGCCTCCTTATAGTCCCGCCCCTCCCTCTGACCTTGGCCACACCCCTCCAAGCGGCCCCATGCCACCCTTTCAGCCTGGCCCGGGCCCTTCAGCACCACCCTGCCATTAGGGCTTGGAGGGGTGAGGGGCTGAGAGTTGCGAACTGGGTGGGGGAAACTAGGAAGAGCCCCGATCTGGGACCGCTTCCCCTCCTAGGGCACACCCTGTCCATTTCTGCCCCGCCACTGAGATCTCCCTACTCATTTCTGCCCCTGCCAGAATGTTCTCCCCAACCCAGCCTAGCCCTGTCCAGTGGGGCGCTTGGCGATGGAGATTTCTGTAGAGGTCTAGGCTCCCTAGTCTGGGGCTCGGACGCTCTGGCCCACATCCCACCCCTGTCTGAGGCCACAGCTCCCAGGAGGCCGCACCCCTCTCCGATCCTGTGCCTTTTTTGTCAGTCTCTCAGTTCCTTCTGAGGTTGCCTTCTGAGATTCAGCCCTACTTGTAGCCCTCCCCCTCGATTCTGTTCGGTGTCTGTCAGCCTGGCAGCCCCTGGGATTCAGCTCTTTGAAGTGCCTCGGCTCCATCTGTCATTCTTTCCTCCGGATCGGCTCTTTCTGAGGGCCTCGCCTCCTCTGATCCAGCCCCCTTCCCTCCCCGCAGTCCACGGGCAATTCTCGGTGGCAGTGCGCGGCTGCGGTTCGGGACTCCCGGGCAAGAATGACCGCGGACTGGACCTTTTCGGACTCCTGGCCTTCATCCAGCTGCAGCAATGCGCCCAGGACCGCTGCAACGCCAAGCTCAACCTCTCGGCACGAGCGCTCACCCCGGCAGGTGGGTGCGAG